TTCGTAAATAGTATAGTCTTGTACTCTTAACTTCCTTGAATGAAATATTGAACTGTGGGATTTAAGTTTACAGCTTGAAACTATTAAATTACACAAAGATACATTCAACTAAAAAACCCAAGAGAGTTGGTCATAGTTGGAAAAATCTTTAAAAAAATAAATATTTCTTAATAAGTATTTTAACAGAATACCAGCTGTAAATTGTTAATCTTCTAATTTGTTCCAATCTTCTAAAATAGATTAAATTTAGATTTTAATTGGGGTTTTAATTAATGAAGACGCCGAAAAGTTAAAGAGGGCAGTTTCCTTTAGATTCAATAGTCCCCCGCTCCTTGAAATATCAATATTCTATACAAATGGTAAATATGCATACCATATGGCAAAATTACTTATATTCAATTTAAGACTAAGAATTGACGTAGTTGTGTGACCCAGTTAAAAACGTGTGCTAGTGTCTATAATTAAATAGTTTGCTTTATTTTTTGTTTCTGACATAGTTGATGGGCCATAAAAGTTGATGTAGCTTCCAATAAGTCATTCCATTAGTTTGACTAGGTGAAAAGTCTATTTATTCAACTGCGATTTGTAATTTAGATCATCATAACCTGTCAACTACACACACTGAAATACAGCTACTGTAGCTCACATCGACTACGACAATTTTGATTTTAAAATCTGGCAATAATATTAACATGGCGTTGAATGTCTAGTTGTATTGTTATATAACAAATAAACCAATAAAAGAATCTTGTGTGATATTCATAGCACTCTCTTCCTTCATGAGAACTGCTGGTATAATTTCGGTGCTATTTTAGTTAGAAAACATGTTATTTAAATCAACAATTCACCTCACAAATAAACTTTAAATTATATCAAACAATACTTAAACTAAATTATGTAACTTAAAAAACAATATTTTCAATGGCCTGGTAATTTTTCTAAATATTCCTTAGAGACGTTTCCCGGTTTTATCCCGAAGTTTCTAATACTGAGATGTTTGGTTCTCCGGGGACTAAGTTGTCTTTCACGCTTAGTCTTCTCATTTTAAGACTTGAGATACTTGACACTTTTCTCAAAACTGTACTTAAAATTCTTGGAGCATTTATTACTAAAGTGCAACCCATAATAGCAGTATAAAATCACCCCAATACAGCGAACCTGAAGATAAAGCGACTTTTATTTTACCTAATGGTATGAAAAGAAATTGTGAAATTTTATTATGTTAAAAGGGCCAAAATAAGGGAAACTAATTTATACCCCATAAACTCCCCATAAGCCAAGTCCGATCATGTTGGTTTGTGAACTCGTTCGAATAAACGTATGTTTAACTATGTATGTTTAAATTCACTAAAAAGAAACTACTCGACATAAATGTAGTATTCCTGTTAAAGTGTAAACTTAACATTTTGTTTTCCATATAAATGTTTTTACCGTGTATTAGAATTGCATTTTAGATTCCAGGATGGAAATTCCATCTATACGGACGAGCTGAGGCCAATCTTTTATTCAAATAAAACATTAAATAAACCACTCTCAGAGTTAGCCAGTGTCAGAGCTATATTATTCATCTTACTTTACAAAAGATTTTACAGCTGAATATACAGGCAGGAACGATGTTAGAGACAAATATTCCTGTGTTAAATTACCAACGATTCTCATAAGGAATTTCACAATGATTCTAAGTAAGTATTACAATGAAACTTATTCAAACATTATTTTTTATTGCTATTTTATTTAACCAAGTACATGCTATTTTACAGGAAATGCAATTATAGAAGTTCGTGTTTTCAACAGAAAATTTTAAATTTAATAATGACAAAATCAAAGTTTTATAAGCTTTATAGTTATTTTAAAGTTTTTTTATAGAAGAAGTTTCTACAATACGAGAATTTTTATAGAAAAGTTTACGATTATTCTATTTAATTATACTCGTATTTGACACTCCCTGAAGTCTAGTGTAACGTAGGAAAGAATTTTCAAAAATTATTGAACGTTTCTAAAATTTCACAAATATAAAATTGTATCGTGGAATAGGTCTTTTTGCAGATGTTTTATCCTATACTATTGATATTGCATTTTTTTGGGGATTCTGAAAGTTACAATATATTCTAAAAATGTTTGTTCAGTTATGACCGTAATATTTAATGACAAATATTTTTAAATTCAAGGTATTAAAGTCAGGGTATGTAAACCTAGATTGGTGCCATTTTGTCTCAGATTTTTAGGTAGTTTAACATATCATTATTTTTTGACACGATCCTTTTAAACCTTTAACCTTTTCCCCTTTTTTACCCTGTATAACCTATAACATTCAGTCTTGTTTGATAAAAACTTGTATACAACAGTAATCCGTTGACAGAAGGACATTGTGTCGGACGTTCAACTCAACCAACTTAATAAATTTTATTTTTAAAATGGCAACAGATTGTACAGAGGAGTACAGTTTTTTTTGTTTCCATCCATTGAAACCTTAGTTGATGAAGATATCGATAGTACATAAACTATGGAATGTAGAAATACAAATACTAATTGGAAAACACTCCACAAAATACACGAAAGAATCCTTCAAATATGACTAAATTTATGACACACCCATTAGATTAGAATGGATGTAAGCAAATAAGCCTTTTAAATTTAGCCTTAAAATCTTACAACAAATAATCGTGTTAATTTTAGTATTTTATTACATACGCGTTAAAATTGCTGGGATCTCTTAATATAAATTTTGATGAAGGATTTAATTGATAAAAACGAATGAATAGTTCTCTTTGGTTCTTTTTAGAAAAAGGAAATGCAGAGCCATGCTGGGAATCAAATAAAACTGTGAAATTCTGCCTGAGTTAGCAGACGAATATCAAACACTTTTAATTGATTGACAGCAGTTTTAAATGGATTCTCAATCGCGTATACTCCGTTCTGCGTTTTTTTTTTTTTTTTGTGAGATATTCTACTTTAACGTGAAATTGATACTTTGGTTGGATGAAAATGAAAAATCTTTGTTTTGAGCCCTTTTTGTTGATTAAATCCGAAATATTCTTAAATTTTTTTCAGTAATAGAAAGCTCAGATGATATTATTGTTTGATTTAAATGATAAACCAGGGAGCTAGCTGGTCTAATAGTAGAGCACGGGGCTTTAGAGACCCCGAAGTCCCGGGTTCGAATCCCACAAATTACCAATGGATGTTATCTACGGGATTATGCGGTCCTCTATGACTAGCCTGAAGTAATGTGTAAAATAATTCCGCGCTAGAAAAATAACTCGAAGTCTTTTTCCATGGATGGATAGTAAATTTTAACACAAAACAAATTGTTTTCAACAAACTCAATTTAATTATGAATTAAGGGTGAAAATAATTTACCGCTGTAAATCTATGGTCAAACATCTTCGTTAAAGAACGAATTTACTCATCAAAAATCTAGCACAATTTCCTTGTAATGTTGTCCAAAGACTTTGCTGTAAATTACTAAACAGACTGTACTGACCAAGAGCAATTTACTGTGTAGAGCGGTTGAGATAATCTACGCTGAATGTATGCATGAGGTGCCCAAACAGCGGATTACTACTAATTTAATCAGCTGAAGCTCAAGGGTTGCTCAGCTCCGAACTATGGCTAAATTAACAGAGTTTGTGTTGGATTAATTGGGTTTTTAATAAATATTATTTTCTAATAAAACAGCTGATTGTATTGTTATCGTTTCATTCGTTTTCGCTACGACTAAGGCAATAAATTTGTAGATGTTGCATAAACGTAATCTGAAAAAAGCAAAAATATATACGTCTAATAACACTTGTAATAATATATTTACACTTATACTGTTGACTTACAAGACGGTAAATACATATAAAAGTTGGTAAGTGGTGATCGATTTCGATTGTACACTCTAATCATCATCAGACCCAATAGGCGAATGATATATTTAAAATATTTTTCGTGTTTTTTTGTGTTAGTTCTTTTATTACCTAACCTAAGGGTGGTTTGGTTAAAGGTTAGGCTAGGACGATTTAGTTATTTAATCTAAAATCTTATTAAATAAATCTTATTTGAAAGTAGATTAATCGGTGTGGTCGGTATAATACGTTAGTAGATTAGTAGATTAGAAAGCAAGAATCTGTAGCAATGAATTTCAGAAAGTGATTAAACATGTGTTACGCAGTGAAATATTAGCAGTGTTAATTTTAAACTGTGATGAACATGTTTAATGTTCGTGTAAATAATTCTGTACAATGTTATGTTTCGTCGAAACCGCGGAAATCAAAACATTTACATCTGTCAGCAAAACGTGTTCTGCAGCTCGACCACTGGTTGGATATTTCGGTAGGGTTCAGTTATAAATACAACATTGTAAGCTGGTGCGCAATGATTTGCTAATATTGGTTGGTTCGTGTGTATTTGATTAACACGTAATCAGTTTATCTGGTATATTTACGTCTGTTATATTGGTAGTTGGTATTTATACCTGTGTTCACAATAATTCTTCAATTTTAAGAATTTATTTTTGTCGTTCATTCACCAAATTGCAACATGTACACATTTAATCAATTACAATAAACGCTAGATATTTTTAAAAGTTCGTATGCGAGATTTGGACCTTATTAAAAATTAATTGTGTACAATATTATAAGGACTAATATTTCATTCCATTTTCCATATTTACGTCTAAAATATGTCTTTACAAATTATTTACATTTGGTTTTAGAATTCACGACGAAAATAGTTTGTGGTCTAACTAAGACTACGGGAAGATTGAATGTAGAAATGTTGGTACGAAAACTTATTATTAATGTAATAAAACATTCCAGGAAAAAAATTATAAATATAAATAAATATGAGGTTAATTTTTAACAGGCAGTATTACCTATACAGCCGCGATCTAATAAAATTGTCACTAGAATCATTGTAGTAAACCCCGCGTTGGAAGCTTGCACAGTTCTGGTCAGTGGTTGCTGCCGTGGTTGGTTTGTGGTTGTTACGGTTGTTTGTGGTTGTGGTTGCAGCAGGAAGTGCATGAATGGCCGTGAGGGAGGCGGCCGGCGACTGACCGCTCATGCAACGGCTGCGCACCACGTTCAAGCGGTCGCGGACGCCGACCGGCGCCGAGATGAAGACCCAGAGCAGCCTGGAAGTGCCCAAGCAGGTGAGGTCGGCCTCCTTCGACGAGATCCAACTGGAGGCCAAGAGATCACTGCAACACCAGACGTCAGAGTCCGGGGGCTTCCTGTCGGTGCCGGCGCCGTCCCAGCGGTCCAAGAGTTTCGATGGCGGCGGTGGAGAAGGCGAGGCCTCCGCGTTCTTAGAGGTCCCGCGACCAGGAAGGTTCCAAAGAAGAAGGAGTTCCGGTGATAAGTCGCCTCCCCCTTGCATCCACTGTATCTACATGGAGGAGTACTGGAGGTCGAGGAGTCCTTCAGGGGAAGACTCTCCACATCCGAGGTCCTTCAGCTACAGCGATACTTCCACCGAGGACGAAGTAGACAGCGATCCTGAACCTCCTGCTAGACCTCAAGATCTTGATCTAGAGCCCCCTCTAACCCCTTTAACACCTCAGTGCTGCATCACAGTTACCCTTTCCCCCAACCCTGTAGTTACCTCCCCTACACTTGACGAACCTCCGCCTTCCCCCTCCAGCAGGAGAAGATCCATCACATCTCCGAAGCTGGAACGCCAAGAAGCCTTTATTTTCAACGAAAATCTCCTCGACCCCAACATTCCCCTGGATGTTTTAACTCCAGATGAGCCTCCACCTTCTCCCGCTGTGCCTAACGCTCTCATAGTCAGCGAGTTCTTCCTCGCCGTGCCGGAGCTGAAACGAGATCGTGCTGCCTCTGTAGACTCCTGCTTCATCAACAAGAGCGGAGGATCCAAGACCGAGGAGATCCCTCCCCCCTCGGACACCCAACTACTTCTGGAACCACCGCCTCTTGGACCCAACGCTCTCAGGTCTCGGTCAGTAGACATCGTCCTGCCCACGGACACCCAGGCGCGGTACAAAGCACTGGCCATGACCAACAACTCACAACCCCGCACCGGCGACAAGGGGTATGTTCTACAGCATGTAGCCTGTCACAGTCACTATCACTACCTCACTACCACTACTAAGTGAAGACGTTTACTGACAATCCTCCAACAGTGGTTAAGGCTTAAACTTGAGTTGTCCAAGTACCAAATTAATATAAAGGAATATAAAAAAAATATTTTAAAAGGTATTTTCCCCTTGTTATTGTCAGTGGGCGTCTGCACTAAATGGGAGCATGCATATTTTATAAGCAACGGTAAGTATTTCTTTGTTGTAACATTGTTGTATCCTCTTGTTCCGCATGTTACTTTTTAGTATTTGTTTTCTTGCTTTATTATTGAGATTTAGAAAATTATCATAAAGTAAGCATTTAAACCTTAACATTTTATTTCGATCTTCTTCTAATACTTTAAAAACTGAAGTTGCTCTAAACTGTCTCAAAAATAAATGTTGTAAACGTAATCTTAAATAAAATCTTGTATCTAATAGTCAATGGTACAATACACAAGGCGATCACATTTCGAAAATCTAAACTGAAACATAATAATGTTTTACTTTAGAAACGAAATAAACTTATCATGCAATGGCGTTAGTCAAGTTAGATTTATTTACAGATCAAGACGATTTAAGGAGATCCTCGATCATTTACTGAATTGAACTCTATCAAGTGAAGAGTTAGCTTCTTAAACGGAATCAGATTTAAAGAGATTTGAAGATTTAATTAAATAAACTGGGAGAGTTCCACCCCTTTCTACTTTGTCACATTTTATCTACTTGCGACCTCTGGTATTCCTTGATCGTTTGTGCCTTCAACTTGGAATTCCAATTTAATTCTCAAATTTTCTTATGTGCTGAATCCGTAAAAAATATTTTCGAGACAGGCGACCGTTTTTAACATTATTATCTTTTAAATCTTGGTGTTTTTGATGTCAAAAGATTATTTAAACAAATTCTTGTTCGTCTATATAGTAATTGATTGATTATTTATACCTCACCACAAATTTTATAGATAGTAAAGTAGTAATATTTTATATTAAGAAGTTTTATATAAAAATTATTATTTTATTTCAAACGTTAATTTAGAAAGAAATCAATTTTGAAATACTGAACGTAAAAATTATAGAATTGCCACAGCCACACAAATCGTGTTATTTATTGTAAGTGTCTAATTTATAAAATTTATACAATGAATTTAAAACTAGCTTTATCTAAGACACTTTTTACATATAAATTATATGTTGTTATTTTTTTTTTTTGTATAGCATTGTATATACAGACCCCTTCTTTATCGAAATTAGTATAAAACAATGTTATTAAAGATAAACTGTTTTAAACTAAATTATAAAGGTGGGTACATAGTTAGCAGTATTTTGTACTGGGAGAAAAATTGAGGGCAATTCAGTATATCGCTCCACCCCATTTGTCTCGTAGATAAGCCTAAACTGTCTTTTACACAACTCCCTGAGGGCAAACCAAAACAGCTTCTCTCGATTTAATCCTGGAAAGTTTGAAGAAATTAAAGATAACGCTAAATTCATTGGATACTTTTAAACAATGACAATTAATTTCTTAGAACCAATTAAGAGAGTCCACTTAAACTGATAAAAAATTGCTGAGCAAATAATACTATACATGTGTAAAGAAAAGTATAAAAGAAATAAATTAATTTAAAAATAATTAAGGTAATCACAAAACATATATATTAAAAAAAGTTTCAATTAAAACTTCTGTCTCATACTTCAATATTATTTCGAATAAAAGATAACATTTATAATTACCATGATTTTTATTTACGAAATAAACACAAAGCCCAAAGTACAATCAAAACACCATTGTCAAGGATTAAGCAAATGCATTTGTCAGTATTATCCCAGTTGCCTAATGCCAACGTACAATATCCCTCTGATGAATTATTAATTTATGACAAACGCAGATAAACCGAACATGGCACTGTGATACGGTATGCGGTTAGGTTTAGACAGCGCTGCCAACCAACTCGCCTAATTATGTCATGTCAAATGTAACGCTTTGTTTATGAGTTTGGTTGGCATCACTGAGGTGTCATGTTTAGTTGTCAACCAGCAAATTATTGTAGGGAATTCTGATGTGGAAAATCCTTATTAAACTTACATGACAAAATATGGAATCTGGTTCTCAGATTAGTTATTTTGTTATAACATATTTTTGCTTGTATCCTTATAGTTTTCTCATACTGAATGATTTGCATGGAAAGCTTGGGTTATGATATTTAATTTTTAATATATTTATATTTTCCATAATTAAGTTTAATTAGTAGTTTAATCATAGTAAGTAATTTTAGTCCCACAAAATGCCTATTTTAATTAATATAACTATTTGTTTGGTTTTAGAAACTTACTTATCTTATCTGACTTACCAGTGAATCAGTACAGAATACGAAATAGAAATTCATTTCTAGCCATATTGTTGTTCGTTGTATACATTTAATATTGCACACATCACATAAAACACATTATTCGTTTAGGAGTAGGTATACGTGCCTAATTTAGTTTTATATTTGAACTTAGTTCAATATATAAAAAGTCAAACTATGCAGTGTAGAATAATTCTTCCAATTCGATTAAATAGAAAACACATATTAAGCAAAATAACAACACAGGTTATTGTACATTAAATGTTATATTTATTAAATTATTTGGTAATATTTCAAAATACATAAGGACACTTTGTGACTTTTTATTTTCAAATTATAGCACGTTTCACGTACAAGAACTTGTATGTGTATCTTTTTATCAAGTAGAATTTATATTTTAAAAATACAAAATAAATCTCTATATTTTTTATTTGTATTAATTTACCACAAATATATACAACTATATGAATTTATTATATACGATGTAATCATATGCATTTTTTGCACATAATTTTTAATTACTAGCAGTATAATGTGTGTTCTATATACACAATTCAATTCAAAACATTACTTGGTTTGGCTACATTTTACGTCTTTATTAAACCCCGCTTAATCCTTGATCCTTGTCAACTTTAAAAGTGCTTGCCAAAAAGGATGTTATAACAACGAAACATGTAAAATCCCTCTAAAATTGAGCTAAAAAGACGGAATAGTTACGGTAGTAATCTAGTCTTACCTTAACACCGATATTATTAGTTTTTCAAACAAAGTAGTCATTAGTGGAAATATTTGTTCCAGAAATCCCACTGTCTCACTACTTACTAATTTCTCGTTTGTCCTCCAGGAAGGCGGTGCAGAGTGGAGGTGGTGGAGGTGATGGGGACTCGGGGACCGCCCAAAGATCCATTAGGTCCACGCCAGACTGGAGTGAGACGGCGGTCAACGGGGACCATCTGTGGTCTCCTACCAACGCTTCTGGGGACTTCTGCTACGTAGGGGAAGGAGACTGCACGGTGAGTAGAAATAATCATCTTGGCTGTGGGAATATTAAATATATGCTGTAAATTCACTTAGAGTATCACATCTAATCAGTAGTTCTGTGAGAACAACTAGCAGGAATTGAAGAGATGCTGCAATCTATAATGAAGTGCTTTTTCTTGCAATAGTATTACAGAAAATCAATACCTACCGTATTTTCATAACTCGGTTAAGTATAGAAATTAAAACTGCTAACATCAAAACGTTTCTATTACACCTTCGAATAAACATGTGCATATTAAAGTGTTTACTTTCAACAACAATAAATTGCAGTAAACAATAACAAATTTCGAAACTGCAGTATAAACACTGCAATTGCAAACAGGAACGGATAACAATAAACTAATAACAATGGAGAAACAATAGTGATTAAAACAAGTTTGCACTGGACAGGAACACATTGGTTCTCGGATGCAATTAAACCGGTGAAATTGGCTTTATACGGAACCATTTGATGATCAACTGCATTCAAAGAGGTATTAAACAAATAATAGGCGGAACGAGTTTATGACTTTCAAAACTTTATGATATTTTTGTAATAGCTATAAATATATTTGAGTCTATCTCAGTACAATTTTAATAATACATTAAACGAACGAGATTTTCATGATGACCCCTGGATCAAGGTATTGCAGGATTTAAAAGGTCCAGGATCAGGACAAAGGATCATCAACTGTAATGCAGCTCGTGTTCGCACTATTTTTTACTTGTTCAAGTTGTTTTTGTAAATGTATTTTTCCTATGTGTTTTATTTTTTGTATAGAGTTTAAAAATTGTATCAATAATTTAGAATCACCCTGTATAATTGCCCCTGACTAAATAAACAGCTGATTAGTGAGTAACACAGCACGCCAGTTATCTTACTTCTGCGTTCATTTTAAACTAAAACAAGCACTGCAACTAAGTGCATCGCTGAAAGATTTATTGATTAAAATAGTCGCATGATCTTTTTCTTGGACTGATCATCACCATAACTCGTTCCTTTTTACGGTTCATAAAATACGAAATTCTTATATTCAGTTAGATAGCAAAAAGGGAATCCTAAAAAAATTACAGAACAATAAAGTAGTTTTACTATTTTTTAACACCTATTAATATTACTACACATAGAAAGCTGCGTTACAGTCATGCGTTAAATGTTAAAATTGCAACGCAGTAAACAAAGTAATAGATCAAGAAACTAATTCTTATAGGAAGAATTATTGACAGGTTTTTATTAAAACCATTTTGTTTTTGCACATTTGAGGAATCTATAATTTTCAGAGAATAATTTGTGGGAATTGGGTTAAAGCTTTTGGTGCATAAATGGGCTATTAAGATCAAATCAGTGGTATAAACTTCTTCGTGGGACACCCTATTTGTCATGAACCTTAAAACTATATCATTTATCAAATATATTACCTGAATTGTAAAGAGGTTTGATATTTCACCAAGCTTTTCTTCCGATGACAGGGTCCCTAGGGATTTATGGCAGGATTATATGCATGGATGTGATTTTTTGAACCAACAATGTACATAAAAATATGTTACTTTTAAATAACTCGTTTTTAATAGTGCAAATATAATTTTTCTGTGATAGATTTCATAATACTGTTTAACCAAATTAAATCAATTCTAAATATTCGATACATAGAAGTATTTTAGCTAACAAATAGAACATTAAACTAGTGATATCAATGTTTATATAGTTATTAGTTTTATAGGGACTGTTCATAATTTTTTGGGACAATACAATGCAAGAATCCCTACTTTTCATAAACTATTATTTTGTTCAACTCATTGCCAAAAATTACTGACAATATTCCTTGTTATTTGTAACAATAGAAGCACTGTTGTAGTCAGATATAAATGCATTAATAGGAAATAATTTTTTTAGGAAATTGACAAAATTTAACGAGGAATGCTATGAAATATTTAAGAATTTTTTTCTATTGAAACTAGAAAAATGAATAATACACTAGTTTACAAAATACCTATAATTTTGAAATAATTTAGAATTATATTCTATCATTATTTACCTTTTACCGCTATTTTTGTATTAACAATCATGTGGTATATGTAAATATGAAAGATTTAATAACTCTTATAAAACAAATCTGTACTCATACAAGACCAAGAGTTCCGTGTTTTAGAGGAAGGTTTCACGTAGCCCGGTTTTGATTATTAGAAGTAAATAATGTTATACAAGACATATAACAAAAATTATTCTCTCATCAAATAATAAAATATAATTTTTATACTTGTTTTCGTATTTTAAAAGCTTCAATTTCATCATACTTTTGACATAAGGCTTCGTATAGCTTCTATAGCTTTGGTAAAAATAGTTCCACAGGTATCCTGTTGGTTATCGAATAAAAAATCTGTTTGCTATGCAAAGCCTTAAGGGTATTACAACCCTTAACCATAAACCTACAACCCTAAATAAATATTATTTAGGGGGGTGTGTTTGATATTTTGGCGATATCGTGTTATTTTCATCAATTTTAACATTGCATTGCAAAGAGCAACTTTTAAAAGCACAAACCAAAGGGATAAAAAATATAAAAAAATTTACAATAATTTTTATGGATTCCACAATATACTTGTTGTTGATTTAGCTATCTGAAAGTATAATTGTCCATCCAAATAGACCACCCTTTAACATCGTGTACATTTAAAAAGCATTGTGTTTGAGTACATTATAAGGTGATTTATTTTAAAAAGAGTGATAAGATCTTTACAAACTTTCCGAGAAGATAAAGCTTTAAAGTTTTAACCACCTATTGGTCGCCCTAAGATCTGTATTGCTTGACTTTACACTGACATAAACCATTTAATGTTTATATGTCTATAAAAATGAGTGGCAAAGTCTATGTAGTGAAATCTTTATGACCTAATTCAGAACAAAGATGTTACATTTTTATTACATGTGCGTGTCATTTTGAGGTAAAATTAATTTATTTTTCGAATGTTTGCGGCAAAGTGTGAAATAGATATTTGTGTAACAAATTGCCACCCATCATTTTGAGCTACTTTTTATGCTGAACTCAATACCGCAATCCGTTTTTGGTTATCAAGCTTTCTTGATTAAATCATTATCTTATTTAAAATTTCTATATTTCTAAAACCAAATATTAAAATGAAAAACGGATTGCGGCATTAAGTTCAGCATAAAAAAATAGTTCAAAATGATGGGTCACAACACTACTTTCATATTTAAATCAATTTGTCACATTTCAAAATGGCGGATCCAATATGGCAGCCGAAAAAATTCATCCGTCATAACCAAGTGAAAATATTGAAAATAATGGTCGACAATGAATGGTGGCGTATACTTATCTTTATCTAATACTATTTTGAGATTATGGTCTTATTTTGTAAATGCACAATGATAAAATAGGCTAAAAATAAAGTTAAAAAAGTCCTCAGAACTTTAGATCGGATCAAGATATTTAAAAACTAGTTGCGGCATTGTAATCAGCGTACAATTCTTGTTCGAAATAATGGGTCACAACCCTACCTTTACATAAAAAAACTTTGTATCCAATATGGCGGATCCAAGATGGCGCCCAAAAATGTATACGCAGACAAAATGAAGTACTTACTACTCTACAATGATCTGACGTGGTCCGGAGTTGATATCTTAAGAAATTTAGGAAAACGTAGAGGGGGGACTCACCCTGTATAGTGCTAGCGTAAAGGATAACTGCAAAGTACTCAAATGTTTCTAAATAAATCAAAGTTAATAGCCTTTACGATCCAAAGTGAACTAAAAAATACAATCTGTTATATGCTTTTAATGATTTTTTGGTAATTCTGAGCAATTACTTGGTCAACCCCAATTTTTTTCATATTTTACTACGGTCATCAGGAGGTTCTCAGAAAGCAAGAAACATATAATTCAAGGCCCGCAAGGTTAAGTTAGGTTAGGTTAGGTTAGGTTAGGTTAAGTTAGGTTATTAATTAACCTAACCTAACCTAACCTAACCTAACGTAACGGTACTGTTACAATTGGCCTTAGAGATGTATTTGAGACTAAAAAAAACCTAATAAGTTATGTTAGGTTAGGTTAGGTTAGGCGGTACTGTCACAACTGGCCTTCCGCGCGTCGCCCGCAAGCCACTGTTATCGCTTGGACTTTGAACCTTCTTATCGCTCGGACACCTGTACGATGGCCTTGCGGGCCTTGAATTATATGTTTCTTGCTTTCTGAGAACCTCCTGATGACCGTAGTAAAATATGAAAAAAATTGGGGTTGACCAAGTAATTGCTCAGAATTACCGATTTTTTTTATTACTAAAAGATAACGTTTCAATCACGTATATACCTGTGGCTCCCTATTGGACCTGAAGACGATCAGTGGGACTGGTCGAAATTGAATTTACAGTTAAAATGTAAACACATTAAATGTGTGTTTCTATGATTGTATTATAATCTTTACACGTATCGTAAAATCGTAGGCATTTTTATGAAATTACAAATAAACAAACAGTTTTATACACTTGTATACACTTTTATACAGTTGTACTTTAATACTTTTAATACTTTAATACTTTTCTTTGAAATGGCGACCATACAAAGTAGGTATTTTAAGCCGAGCATGAATGGAGATGAGTGTATGATGAGTGGCGCGATCTTGTAGTCTTGTTAGTGACTAAGGCCGACATATTCCTTAGACACAGCTGTTAATTAATAGCCCATACAGCTAATGGAGACTAAGGGACCTACAGTTTATAGTGGAATCCGAACCACATTTTTTCCTTGGTATATACGAATTGGTCTAATTATCAGGATAGTACTGCGGATAGTCGTAGTACTCACCCGTGCGGACGTTAATCCACACCAGGGAGTATCGTATCCACAGTGCATGCCTATAAATATCCACAATTCGTTACCTCCTAGTAGCTGGATTACAGGACGACGCCACCCGTCCCAGTCTTTATATATTATTATTTATTTATATATAGTATTTATTTATTATTTATAATATATTCTT